GGAGGAAGATGGGGGAGGCCCAGGGAGGGACCGAGGGATCGGGAAGGCGAGGGAGAAACCGGCCAAGTGGGTGTGCGCACTTTGTAAACATCATGTGGGAAGCGTTGAGGAAATGTTCGCGGGGGAGAACGAGGGAAGGTCGAGCGGGCAGCGGACCGAGCCTTGTGCTAGTAGGCATGGAGCCCAGGGAAAGACAAGTGGGGCCGTGGGTCCTGCCGGAGCCCCTCCGGGTCCCCCGACCGCCTGGGAGCGGCTGCAGGGCCTGGGTCAGAAGTTCACAGACCCGGAAATCCCGCTGGGAGACTTGACAAAGTGTTACCTCGGAGACAAAATGGAACACGGGGACAGTGAGTCCATTACCCGGTCCGTGGGGAGCTGCCCTTCGCCAGAGCCACCAGGGCTCAGTCCTGAACCAGCTGTGCAGACTCAGGGCCGTGGAGGCCCCTGGGGACCCGGGACGGGCCGCTGCGCAGACACGCGCCCATTCAGAATGCAGCAGTCCAGGGAGCCTGCTGCGTGCAACCCCGGGGGGGCCACAGTGACACTGTACCAAGCCATCCCGGTTTGCAGTGTTTGCACTGTCAGCACAAAACCCGAATGTCAAGGGCATTAAAGATTTTTGGATGGCGATCCTGTGGCAAAAGGAGCTCTGCTGGACTGGGAATCCGGAAGGAAATCTGGCCTTGCCATGATCGCTTCGCCCTTGTTAAATTAACCTTAGCTATCAAATAAGAGTGTTTTCTGAACTCAAAGGCCCCTCCTTCTAGGTCTCAGATTCAGTGACTTTGAGAAAAATAAGAAACGACTCATTCGTTAACCAGTTATTGCTGTGTCTTATTATGGTGCCGCATACTAAACTATCATAAAACTTCAATACTACAAACGAGGAGGAAAAAAGGTTCCGGATGTGATTCAGAGCGATTCCCTGGAATGGGCTCTTTTTCTATGCTTTACCTGATAAAGATGCTACAGTGTCTGGCATTCGTAACACAAGCTGAGTTGGCAATGTTCTTTAAAGAACACAAAAAACCCACTGGAATATTTGGAAGAATTGAGCAGCTGTACTTTACCACCTCCCTTATAAAATGTAATAAATCTAAGGGAGTTAAAGTTTTAAGATATTCTTTTAGGAAAGAAAGATGCTTCAAGTGAGAATTTTGTTTTAATCATTGCATTTGCTACCTTCCTTTCCTTGGCACTGAACATCTTTTCTGCCTCCCTCTTTCTAACGCGCCCTTCTCCATGCCCTTGTTCAGCACACAGAGTATTGCTGCTTTATGCTTTTTATGCCTGTGAAACTGTTTTCCATAGAATCCCTTCGTGATCTCTTTCTAGAACCAAAACAAGGACAGACAGCAAAAAGGAAACTGCCCTGACAGGAATGTGCTGATTACCTTATCTTCCCTACTCCCCAAACCTGAATTGGACGCCCTTGGTTTCAGCTGGAGAAAGAACTGCACAGTTTGCATACACTTGCTAATCCGCCTGTAACTCCACTTCCTATTTCACAACATAATCTCAGATGATACCACAATGCCCACAGTATGCTGATCACTACCAACAGCAGATGGAGTCAGATAAAAAGAGCTCTCTTGCAAGTGTGTTGTTTTTAAAAGGACCTGATGGAGAGCCGTGAAATCATATGCAACATTGCCTCGTGTTAGTTTTTAAATAACACTTGTTGCATATGTCTGGCACCTCTACTCAGGATCTCCACAGATGGTTTTCAGGATATTGACATTTAGCTGGCTGCTTATGAAGTAGCACAGAATTCCAAAATGGAGAATTAGAGTGTAAGCTCCACAGAGGCAGAGATTTGGGTCTGATTTGTTTACGTACATGTCCCAAGTACCTAGAAGCACTTGGCATATGCAAGGTGTTCTTGTAAATTCCTGTTGAATGTATTTTTGAGTGAAAATGTGCTCTGTAAGTTGCTGAATAAACTTGTCCTACTTTCTTCCTAATTCTTTAATAGGTAACCCACTTTTCATTGCACATTTCTATACAAAAAAACATGAAGTTTTATCTGGCATCCCTGTTTTTGGCTAGGTTGTGAGAAACAAGAATTTGGCCATGTCTATCAAAATTACAAATGCATATATACACTGAACCTCCAATTTCACTTCTAGGATTACACATAGTTCCACACCTGAGAAATGATAAGGTATTTCCTGTAGTATTGATGAGAATAGCTAAGATTGGAAGTTACCTAAATATCCACCAACAGGAGACTAGTTATGATATATTCATACATCTGAACACTAAGCAGCTGTTAACAGAAAAAGAAAAATGAGAAGGTTCTTTACCTTTTAATATTAAGATCTCCAAGATTTTTCTGTTAAGTGAAAAAAGCAGAATGATGGTGCAGAATTGGCTTGTGTATGCATTTAACCAGGGCAAACAAAGGAACCCTGGTGGCGCAATGGTTAAGGGCTTGGCTGCTAACCAAACGGCTGGCCGTCGGAACCAGCCTAGCAGCTCTGCGGGAGAAAGACCTGGCGATCTGCTTCCATAAAGATGACAGCCTAGGAAACCCGACGGTGCAGTTCTGCTCTGTCACCTGGCGTCACTATGAGTCGAAAATCGATTCAAGGGCGCTTAACAACAGAACAAACTAGCTGTCGGGAGATGAGGACTCAGGGGATGTAGACTTCTCATTGTATTCGTGTTTAAACTTTTTGAGATTTGAACCATGAGAATTATATACTTATTCATAATATTAAATAAAATTTTTTAATTTAAAATAATTCTGGTATCTTTATTTTGTTATAAAAGCATTCAAGTTTCATCTGTTTTATAAAATTTTATCTGATTAAAATAAACTGGTACACACATCATGTAAGCCAGTAGATATATCAGGTAAGCTTTTTAACAACTCTCTTTAACAGTTCATTAAGTTTATATTGGACAGTATCCATTCCTTAACATAATAATTAAAAATCAAGGTATACCACATTTAGTTTGAAACTTATCAAATGTATGTAAAATTCTACAAGTACTTTTATGATTTCTCTTGAAGTACAGCCTAATTTGAATACCTTTTAACAGCTTGGATCCTCTGATTGCAACAATACAATCAGAATTTCATGAACCATTTGGCTGTCTTCTAATGAAGGTCATGAAAAATATATTTGGGAAAAAACACTGAAGGCTTGTGTTTCTGTGTGTATCTGTTCACTCGCCCACTTTGTAATGGCAACTGCCTCCTGTTTCCATGGGTTACACAGATGCCCTGAAATGATTTTGCCTGATATGTTTCAGTATTTGATCACGTTTATTCGTGAACCTTTTCTAGTAATCGCAGAGTTAGAATTACGGATTAAAATAGCAGTCAAATTTATGTAATACTTTAAGGATTTTAGAACTTTATTAGTATTTTCCTGTGAAATGTCACTGTTTTCACTATATAAATTTACATGATCAGTTTTATAACTTATGCTCGGTTAAAGACAGATTAAGGCATGATTAGGATTAAAGGGTAAATAGACAAATTGCCACCTGGAGTTCTTTTCCAAAGTGGTATAGCCTGGACTACCTAACACAAGAAAATTAGTAACTGGCCTTCAAATTTCAACTATGCAAATCATCCAGTCACTCAGACATGTTTTAATTGATCATTCGTTCTGCTCAAATTCTTTAAGTGTGTACTCATTTTATAGTTTCACACATAACTCAGACTCAGAAATAAGTACTAACGAAATGACCCTAAAATTAATAAAAATCAAGAATTTGTTATTTAAGCGTATTGACACTGTATAAAAAACATTCAGTATCTGTCACCAGTAGGGAGTAGTGCAGTGTTTCTATGTGAAACACAGCTAAGTAGAAATATTCTCAACTGAAAAAATCAAGGTCCTTCCCTAATATTGGGGACAAAGCAAGGATGCCTGCTTTTGTCACTTCTGTCATCAGCATTGTACTGGAGGTTCTAGCAAGTAGCTGGCAATAAGTAAATCTGTAGAGAAAGCTTTATGCAAATTTATGTAATTTGATGCAATAGAGAAAACATCAAAAGAAATCGCATTATTAAAATCTGTATGATTGTTAAATAAGAGGGAGGATTAAATGAGATAACATAGAAAAGCACCTGGTCCAGAACCTGGCAAATGGTAGATGGTCAGTAAATGATAGACTTGAACACCTGTGGAAGGGGTTTCAACTCTGAGTAAAAGAGTAATTTGTTATAAAGTAGTGGAAGATTGTCCTTTACAGATTTATGCCAGTAGGAGATGAAAATTTGTCTCTTTCTTAGTGTAGCTTTCTCCAGAAGCTGACCTTGAGGCAAGGATTAGAGGGGAAGAAATCCTTCAGGCAGTGAAAGAAGCACCAGTAACAGGAGTGAGGAACTGAGATGGGGAAGGAAAGAAGGTCAGTAAAGGGCACATAATCCAGCCAGCTACCACTGTGGGCAACTGGAGCTTAATCCAGTGGGGAATTCTGGGAGCAGTGTAAAACATAGGCC